GTAAATAACTATTCGTTATTCGTTTTCGCTCGCTGGAAACATTAAAAATGTTTCCAACATACGAGAAAGGGTAAACCGGGTGCATGCATAATTTAAACGCTCAATCTGAAAACATCACGTCGCACCGGCGAAAAATTTAATCCATCACATACATCTAGATTCTTTGCGGCGGAATACCGCCGGTTCGGAAACTAAGCAGCCCTTCTCTGAGATAGCGGCGCTCCTCGGTGGCGCGCGTATGATTTTTACGACACGTCCGGAAATCACCGGGGCCCTGAATATATTATTATTGTTATGGCAACACCGAACGTTGGGAAAATTGTAAAATACGCCATACACTCTTCCGCGGCGCGAGAGTTATGCCTGTAGTCGCATATCATTAGGGAATTCGTTCGGATCACATCGCCGCTGACTGAATTTTTCATCGCGTTTGCATTTTCCGAGATTTATTATTCCGCGAAAGAGCTGTGCGCCTTCTTGCGGCCGTCCCGCGCTGTTTGCGGCCGTGACGATAAACTAAAATTAATGTGCCACGGATTTTCATGAAATATTGTTTTTTAATAAGATATTCGAAGCTCTTGTCGGTCTATGTAAGTTTAGCTATATTTTAGCGGCCAACCGAGAGATATATCTACACATATCTAATGTTCAACGCTATAATGGAATGATATCCTGAAAATCAAGACATTAGTCAGCGGCATGTATTTTTCCGTCTGCGTGACAGGGCGGCAGCGGGGCGCGGGGCGCGGGGCCCGCTCTGAACGTATTTACATATTCTCTTCCAAACGCCCCATAGATTTAGGTGCCAACAAATGGATTGTTTCTCCTCCACAGCAAAACAAAATTTATAGCGCCTAACGCAAATTTTTCGCAGCCTTTTCCGTGGGGCGCGGGCGTCTTTTTTCTCTCTCGATTTTCGATTTATTGCTAACTTATGCCCTGTATAATCGTGATTTTAATGCTTGCGCGTGATTTACGCCGGTCCGCTGAGCGTTCGCTGCGGAACGGGATTGCTTTTCGAAATTTGATATCTCAATAACGTTTATGATGCCCTGGTGCATACGATCCTTATTGTACAAGTATTGAACGATCAACATACACACCTACACTTCTATACACTTTTTTCTACACGCAGACATACAGGAGTACTCAAAAAGTTAATAAACAATGGACTTAACGTTTTAAAGTTAAAGCTAATTGGTACTCGTCAACAAAAAAGCAGCCTTCAGTATAAATTTGACAAATCCCGTTATCCAAACGGACCACGGTCCGGAGTTTATCATTTTTCGGTTTTTCTGCACGCCGTAATAGGCTTCATAAATTTTTGATAACGTTTTTGCGCTTATCGACGCGGCCGGCGACCGAGCGGACGGACAGCGAAAAACACGATGCCCAAAAAAGCTCCCCATCCCACTTAATAAACAGGCCCACTAAATTTGGTGCTTCCTAATTTGTGTTGCCAGTGTATATAACCGCTTTTTCAGTGTAAAATTGGACGTTGTATGTAAACATGGTACGTTAACGTAAACACAGCATCCTGTGGTTATTGTTCGTACATCGTGCATTACGGATGCATTAGTGCAATTCAACAATAGCCAAATACACGTAACTGTAACAACAAACAGGCGGACCTCCCGCGCGTCTATTCTCAGCCACGTTGTGCGCACGCGCAGGTGACTGCTCCACGCACCGTTTACTCAACTGATGCGTTTATCATACATACAATTATAATACAACCCTTATGATGATAGTCATAAAGTTCAATTTATAGAGTAAGTTTTGTTTAAGTACAATAAAAGTTAATATCAACGATTACAAACAGGTAGGTGGACTAGAACAAAGATATTTTATAAATATTTGTTTTACTCCATCGCAGACACAACTGGCTACTGTATGAATATTTCCATGGTATCGTTTACATAAGAAACCATGGTGGTCTTGTCAGGGAGTGCCACTCGGTGACATCACTGATGATGATGATAGATCAATATAAATAAAAAAAAAACAATTATATTACAGTGTTACTATTTAATAATAGTTCCAAACCAAAACTAGACGAGTGTTCTCGACAAAAACGTATGTACTTAAGTCTTTTTTTTTTTAATAAACAATAATAGTTCAATTTAATTCAATTTGTGAATTTCACCATCGTACAGCCCGCTACAAGCTAAAGTTCCATCCCAACCATCTGGATCAGTGGTGGTCATCCACCGTGCATTTCCCTAGCACCTTAGTTCCACTCACAACCCTATGCTTTGGAATTATCTTCCAACAGTAGTTTTACTAAACTGATACGACATTATAACCTTCAAATAAAGAGCATATTCCTTTTTAAATACATAGACAGATACTCATTATTGTTTCCTCCAAAAGATTACAATAATAAACAAAGTGAAAAAAGTGTTGTCCTCCTCTCTCCTACTTGCTGTGCCCAACAGGGTCCATAATTGAAACGTTATGTACTAATTATTACAAAGTGAACTTGGAATTGAACCGTATTTCGTGAAAGCAAATTAAAACTCATACGTATGTTACTAAATAAATTGTATTTCTTTCTTTCTTTCTTTCTTTCAGTGTCTGTAATGTTGCATAGTTATAATTGTATTATATTAGTAAGAATTTACGGAAAATGTACCGATATTTTTTTTAAATTTATTCGTGCAAAATTTGAAACACATCCTAGATTAAACAGATTTTATATACATATATCAAAAGTCGATTGCTTGGGCACCTCTGTCCCATTCGTGTTTCTACCGTGAAGCAGTTGTGTTTGCATGGCTGTGTTTCGGTTTGAAGGGTGGGATATAGCGTGAATTTATTGAGTACAGAGGAATAACACCCGAGTCCTCAGGAATGGCAACGCATGGGGGTATCATGGGCGAAACAGTATACTCTGTTATGTCCATGGTACTGCTCATGTCTATAGGCGACGGTTAACATTTTCCATCAGGTGAACCGTCAACTTGTTTGCCATTCTAAGTAGTATAAAAAAAATCTAAAACTCGAACTAAACTCGAAACTTCGAAGCCCCGCAGTGTCGATAATTCAAACGACACATCGAGAAGTCAACGAGTTGAGAAAACAAATACACCCAACTAGAAGGGTAATAAGTTCATTTTTACAACCGTAACATGCCGCGTGTATAAAACATACAGTTTTATTGATACTCCACATGGATATAACAACAAAATGATTAGTGTTTACGAGCGAAACCGCGGCGTAAAGTTTACGTGGCGGCGTAATACGCGGCGGGCATCCCCTTCCCCCCGAAGTGGGATTGCGAAGTCTTTTTACGTGTAATTTTCACTATGAATACATTATTTAGAGACACTCGCGCGCATCAGGGAGCTGAGTAATGCCCCATACGCTTTTATTTTTATGACATGTTTTTACGAGAGCCAAAATGGCGAAGTCGAGCTCATTTAGATTTACGATCGCATCGGAAGGGTTCGAGTGATAACCGAACAAATTGAAGTGTTTATAGAACGCACCGCGGTGCCCCACGCTAGTGGCCCACTTGTTTTTCGTAGTGTAGTACCAGTTTATAAATCAAAGAATGAAATGTAGTGTTGACGCGTCGCATTCCGTGTGCAATCAGTTTTTGTTTAATTCGCACCTTACTTGAGTCGAAACACTCTCTTATTTTGTTCTACTGTAAACTGGAATTGTTTTATTTTCTTTATTGACAGAATTATTTTTTCGTAACGGTAATAAGATTTATAACATATATATGTTTACTGTCCCTTTATTTTATAATTGAAACTTCATAAAAAAATCTTCTATATCCTATGTGTTAATGTCGGACATAATTCATATCATTTATATACTTATTAATTTTAATTAAAAGCTATTCAGATCTTTATAATTTATATTTATATTTATAATAAATTTTCTAAAAAAAAAAAAATACTCAACCATACTCTAGCAAGCACCTGTGGCAGTATTAAGGCAAGATAAACTAGAGGAGGTCCCACGGGGGCGAACGGTAGCCACCCTGCGACTTGCACGGCAGAAACCAATAACATTACATTAGATAATGTACGTGTTGCGTGCTCCTGCCACCCTGGTATCGACCAGCCAATAACATATTCTAAATAAGTTTAAAAAAAAACACCGATGACTTCTTGTTTGCCACCGATAAAATAAACCGTGCGGGTGCTAACCTTGGTCTCGGTATGAAACAAACTGTATAGCTTTTGCTCCATAAAAAAAAACAATAACAAAATCAATATTGAAGGAACTAGTAATTCACTGGCCTAATTTAAAAAGAATAAAACAACATGGATGGAAGAGATATTTAATAGATACAAATTCAAAGTGTCCACTCCTTATTGTTTTTCAATAATTACGATACTAAAAAGAAATGCACTAAATTGAAAAAAAAAAAAATATTGCGTGGATTCTACAAGTAAATTTTACTTAACAAGTCCTTCTGAGCAAAAAAAGCTGCAGCTCTAATCGTCACAAAATTATAATGACACCATCACGAATCCATCATCTCAGCCGTTAACTGTCCACTGCGGAACATAGGCCTCCTCCATAAGGGGGGTTTTAAACAGTAGTTGCCACGCTTGGCTTCCGCGGGCTGGCAACCGCAGTTAGGCTTTGGTTTTTTAAGAGTATTTTAAGAGAAACGCTACTGCCTAACCCACGACCATTAAGTATCTTACGGCTCTTAGTCTCTTACGCCAACAACAGCAAAGAAATGGGTGGCCAACTCCATGCCGAGACCACACGACAGATATAGAATAGAAGGAAAAAGAAAAAAAAAACAACTCATATTTTTTGTCTATTATTTATTGCCTCGACCATCGATGTAAAGAGCTTCATTCCCTAATTCTAAATTCCCTTTTTAAACTCATTTTATTTACACTTCCAACAATCGGCGACGGTTGTAGGCGAATTTAATTAGGGACAGACCGATTTAGGAACGCACCTAATTGAATCCGTTTTTACAAATTCTATTTGCATTGTATCTGATTACGTTCTTTCTTTTACAGCATCCGTACCCGTCGGAGGACCAAAAGAAACAATTAGCACAGGACACAGGGTTAACGATACTACAAGTAAATAATTGGTAAGTGCTACTTTAATTCTCTCACCTTTAATATCGGATGTCTCTGAATATATAAACTATAAATAACTCTATGCCAAGTTTTCGTCCTCTTTTTGCTTATTATATTTGCATAAGAAGAAAAGAGGCAACCATTGGGTTTACTATTTTTATTTTATCATTCCTTCTATGTAATTCCTTGTTCTTAGATGTCAACCAAAAGTTTTTTTTTTTTTTGGTTATATATTAAATACTTTTGCATTTATTATATTTGTAAGGATTATAATGTAAAAACCTTAGATTATATAGATAGTGTCTCCGTAGAAATGCTTCAAGAAAATCGGGTCATTTTTTACATACAATTTTGCGTGATAAATAGTTATGAATGATTCCTTTATAACTTCTATATATTAATTTTGTCTTATAAATTCTGCATCTATTTAATGCGTCAACACTCATTTATTAAATAACATGTCAAGATACATTTTAATGCGTAAATATATGGAATACTGATAAGAAAAAACAAGTCAGCTAATTTGACAATTAACAATTATATAGCCTTTATTCAGATCAACTTAACACTGTCTTTAAAACTAACATTAAATTTTAAAAAACTTTAAAAAACAAAATACCTTATTCTAGTAATTGCTTCTTAATTATTTTCTGTAGATCTGTTTACCAATTGGCAAAGGCCTCCTCCAACCGATTCCATTCTCGACTTTCTTGAACCACTCTGTCCCATGTTATTCCAGCCACTTCCCTGATGTCATCATCCCATCTTATGCAGGGTTTACCTCTTTTCCTTTTGCCTTCCCTGGGATACCATCTTGTCACTTTCTTACTCCATTTGTCATCTCTTATCATGTTTTGATAATTTGACAATTAGCTGACAAAAGATTGACCCGTTTTTGAAGCTCGATACTCTATCTATATAATCTAAGATAAAGACGTAGTTTATTTTTGTATCCAGTTTAATATAAAACTGGTAGATACCACGCTAGTTTAGTTACATCAATACCAATGTGTTCCATTACACGAAAACTAAAAACGTATAAAATCACATATCAGACATTTTAAGCTGGCTATTAAAACCCACTGTCAACGCGATGCATTTCTATTTGCCATTCAACCAGTGCGAAAAGACACCTTACAATCCTTCGTCACTCTCACACATATGAAAAAATCGTATTTTTATCCTGTATTTTGCGATTCTGCAAGTCCTAGCGCATTTGGACGGATAATAACATGATTATCTTAAGTTGGGTGTTATAAAATATGCTATTTTACGACTGTGCATCCAGAGCTAGCATTAAATTCGTTTTATAATGAGCTTTAGTAATATAAGCTACACTGATGCACCCACACGGATTCACTTGCACTTGTTTTATTTGAATATTTATTTAGCTGTTTGTAAAGTATTCCTTTACTCGAGTCAGTGGTCTGGAAAAAAAGTTTAGTTCGTAATTTAAAATACATATTTTGAATATTTTTAGGTACATAATTTACATTAAAAGCTAAATACATAATAATATTAAAATAGACATGGATTTTTTAAATAAAAAATATATATTTTAATTGCATATTATTATATTGCTATTTGTCAGAAGGAAAAAAATGTTAGGACACTTGATACGATATGACGAACTTAATAACATTATAATAGAAGGTAAGATAGAAGGAAGAAGGGGAAGAGGGAGACCGAGGCATAGTTACATCAGGCAGATCAAGAAAGGAGTTGGTGTCGTGTCGTATCAAGAGGTGAAGAGACTCGCTGAAAATCGTAGTAAATTGCAAGAGTTCCACTGACAAGAGCGCAGCTCTTAAATAGGATAGATAGATAGATATTGTATATATGTATTTTCAGCTATGGAGGTAACTGAAATTACAAATTCATCATTATTCAAATAGACTTGTTTACAAGCACTTTTAAATCGTCATTTTTTAAATTTACTCCATGATTCGGAAAGTTGTATTCCGTTATGAAGAGCCTGCAAGAGAAACTCAATCGACTCTTTACAGATAATAAAAATCTGAAAGTAAACTAGAAATTTTAATCGATTTATTTTTCTTAATTTGTATTATTAAATTTAACATTAGGATTTTACAAGCCTAATTAATTTTGTATGGGAATTTCTAATTATTCTGTTGATATGAGTCGTTGGTGATGTCAACTCACAAAATTAAGGGGTGAATCTCTTTACCAATATAATTCTTGCTAAGCGGCCATTTTGCGGATTCTTGTGAAGTTAATTAGATGAATTGCAAATAAACATTTTAGGCCTCTGTTACGAGTCACTCGTTTTAGCAAAGCACCCATTTTAATCTTCAAAACATACTTCCTTTGCCTTCTTGCATTCTCACCTCCATTATTAATATTTTTAACCGTTTCGAAAAAAAACTCAGTTTTTGATATATCTGGTTTTTGTGTTTAAAGAACCTATATATACATATATATATATATATATATATATATATATATATATATATATATATATATATATATATATATATATATATATATATATATATATATATATTTTAAGACTTTTTTTTTAATTAAAACGCTTTATTTTCTTGGTACATATTGATATTATTAGGAAAACACTAACAGTACCGTAGACATAACAAGGTAAACTGTGTCGCCCATAACACCTGTTCCTACCTATAGGCGACGGTTACCACTTTCCATCATATGGACCGTCAGCTTGTCTTCCATTTTAAGATGCATAAAAAGTAAATAAAATATATATATATATACCTATTAAATATTTTGTAAGTATACCTTTTTTAAATAAAAAAAAAATTGTCAAACATTCAGACAACATGCTTTTATCAATGTTGCGCGTGTGGGTGTCAGGCGATATGCGTGTGCGTAAGTTCCACGGCGCGATAATAAAACGCGGGATAAATGGCGGACGTCGCAACACGGCGGAATGGCGAATTTCCTTGCATCGATTGTTTAATTTATTTTGTTATCGAATCGTCCTCAGAACGTTATGTTACACTCTAAGTACATACTACTGTTGTGTTTATATACGTACTATTATTTATTTAACTCTTTATTGCACAATAAACAAAAATATACAATGACAAGTTTTTTTAATGGTTGATAATGGAATAGTTACCCCGTCTGCGCTATCGGTACACGCTGGCGGGGCACCAGTGAGTGATGATAGGTGAGAAAGAAAAGGCAGGTCAGTTAACCCATCGTGATGAATACACTTGGAATTCAGCACGATGGTTTCCAGAGGGGACCACGTGGAGGTCGACCTGTTTTGGTATATACCCAAATGCTAGCAATGGGGTCCTTACTCTCCATTATTAACAATCCCTCCCTCCCTACAATGATAATTGTACAATTCAAGTGAAATACAGTAAAATAAATACAGATTGAAATATACATATAAAGGTACAAAAGGCGGTCTTATCGCTAGGGCAATCTCTTACAGGCAACCATTCTTTTTTATTTTACTTACTTTCTACTATTTCTAATACTTAACTTTGTCTGCGTGAAGTATAATAAATCCAACTAAATATAATTATATTGTACAGCGCCATCTGTTTTTAATACAACTTAGAATGGCAAACAAGCTGACGGTCCACCCGATGGAAAGTAACTGTCGCCTATACTCATGAGCAGTACCATGGACATAACAGAGTTTACAGTTTCGCTCATGATACCCCCCATGCGTTGCCATTCCTGAGGACTCAGGTGTTATTCCTCTGTACCCTGTAAATTCCTATCTATCTTACCTATCCTATGCCGAAACCATACGGCAACTAATATAACTAATACAATCAAATTTTCTGAATTCAGTAACTCACGTGAACGATGTCGCGGGTATAAACTAGTAGTAAAACAAATCATATAACCAATTTCGAAATACATATTAAAGAAAAAAGAACGTCAAATCTGTATAAATTGCTTATTTTTTTTAATTAAAGTCGCATTATGCAAAGGGAGCCAAGCCTCTCGTCAATTTGTTTATTGTTATTAGAAAATGTACCATAGACTACGGAGTTTATATAACAAACATGCCCATAGAGAATTCATCAGCGGCCATCAGTGGGATTAAAAGAGCCAGACTCATTATCACTGCGGCTTTTAACAGTTTTAGGGTTCTTCAATAATTAATAAAACAAAGAATTTTTTTTTTAAATGCATCTGAAGAAGAGCAAATGTTTTGTTTTAAATTGTTCATTTTTTAAAAGCTTTTAGACCTCATTACTGAGTGTTAAAACTGTATCCTATCAGCCATTAACTGCACACAACTGAACATAACATAATGGCAACGCATGAGGGGTATCATGGGCGAAACAGTATACTCTGTTATGTCCATGGTACTGCTCGTGTCTATGGGCGGCGGTTGCCACTTTCCGTCAGGTGGGCCGTCAGCTTGTTTGCCATTCTAAGTTACATAAAAAAAAACATAAGCCTCCCTCTAAAGGGGGGAGGGGGATTGCCAGTAGTTGGCACATTTGGCAGGTGGGTTAGCAACAGCAGTTAGGCTGTATGTATGTATATGTATATGTATCACATCTCCCATATTTAGAACTAATTACTCCTCTCCATCCAAAGGTTGGCTGGAAGAGATCGCTCTTAGCGATAAGGTCGCCCATTGTTTTCTCACTGTGATTATTTCTTGTAATTGTTTATATTTATAATAAGTTTACTATTGTAATCTTTTGGAGGAAACAATAAAGAGTATCTATCTATCTATCTATCTTTTGCTTAATCTAAAATTATCATATACAGAACCACTAACTTAAGTGTATGTCTCACTTAACCAATACACTTAATAAGCACTCGACTCGAATATGACTAATGAACGCTACTCTCGAAACGATCGACATACAAAACCTTATAAAGTTTAATGGCGGGCGTCGCCTGGAGGCAAGTATAGTCCTCGTTTGGATTACTAATAAGATGAGGTAAAAAGGGTGAAATGGATGCGGCAAATTATATCTTTTATTTTATATAACTTAGAATGGCAAACAAGCTGACGGCCCATCTGATGGAAAGT